AGGTACTCAGGGCGGATCTCATCCACCCCCGGTGCCTTGCCACCGAGGAGCTTCTTGACTACCTCAGTGACTTCAGCTTGGGTGATGGACGAGTCCACCTCTGAGCCTTCAGCCTCTGCTTCCTCATCGGAAGACATGGCACCATCTGAAAGATGGTGAACAATAATTCTATGTCATTCTATGTTTGCAAGAACACCAGACCAAAAGGTGCTTTGTATCTGTGTTTCTGATTGGTTGACATTGACTCCTTATGCATTAGGAAACTTACTTTTGATTGGTCCATTCCCCCACAGTGGTCATATGCTACTAACTCAAGGAGGACATCCTTATTATTATTTTTTATATATATTAGCTACATTTTCAACAAAAATGACTGTGAAATATATACATTATTCAACAAAACTGAGGCAGGAAATGAAAGCTAGGTCATGCATACACAATGAACAATGTGAAGCGCACTTCCTTTTTAGAAAGTTTTGGGCCATGAAATAAGTCTGTATTGCTTATTTTGCATATATTTAACAAAGGTCAGACTCAATAGTCAAATGGTTAGACTAATTATATCGAATTTCACAGTAACAGTATCGGACATTATGCTGCCTAGTTGAAATAAGTAGAGAAAATCTGTAACCAACCTGTCCAGGTTGTGCCCTTATTATGTTTTGTACATTTTATTATATCATCCCTGTTTTAAAAATCAAATAAAATGTGTCCACTATGCATACCATGCAAGAAAACGTTAGTACATATTAGAATTTGTAATGGCTGCTTGCCAGTATGCCTGTGTTTTTAGCATTATTGAGGTGGGAGAGTTTAATTGCCTTGTTATATGTTGTAAAATTATTAAGTGGACCAAATAAAAAGGTAATTTCAGCTCGCAGCTAAGGCCAAAAATTCAACTAAAACTGATGAAGACTGGGAGCTTCAGGGGGCTTTGCTCCCTGGGCCCTATGCACACCCCCAAAACCCTGGCAACCCCCAACCCCTCAACAACAAAATTGGAGAAATGAATGGAAATATCATGCTACATGCATGGTATAAAATAAAACTAATTTAACCAATATCAATTATAAAGCACCTGAGAAATGCTGGTTGTATTTAAGGCAACAATTTGTCATTATTTTTCAGTTTCATTCATTTTTTTTTTTATTGCAACACAAAATAAAACATTTACAGGACATAACATAGTAAATGAGACAACAGACATTAACAAAGGGGACAAAGTGTCATTCATTAATACTGACAAGCACCACATTTTGACTATAACACCCCCCACCCTACCCCACCACATGATTTTTTTTTGCTATTTTGGAATCCCATACCTGAATTAGGCAGTGTCCAAAAATAAACACACACTCTGTTTTGAATCAGCACAACAGACATTAACAAAGGGGACAAAGTGTCATTCATTAATACTGACAAGCACCACATTTTGACTATAACACCCCCCACCCTACCCCACCACATGATTTTTTTTTGCTATTTTGGAATCCCATACCTGAATTAGGCAGTGTCCAAAAATAAACACACACTCTGTTTTGAATCAGCCTATAGTAGTTGTTGGACTGCACTTGTTTTGGTGTTAATTATATTGCTTATACATCTACATGTGTAATATACCATAGCCGTGTTACGTTTTGCTGTTGACTGCTTAATTTTATCTATGCTGCATCTGCCAAAGTGTCCCTAGCCTTTTTGATGATTGATGTTAATTTTTACTGGTGTGAGTATGTACTATTTTCTAATTGATTATAATGAGGCTTGATGTAGGAAGATGATTGGTATTCTAGTGTTTGCCCAAGCAACTGGTTTCCCTTTTATGGGAACTGAATTATGGTAATCTGCACCCAGGCCCAGTACTATGTTGTTCTGCCACTGCCAGTGGGAGTCATATTATTAAGGGGCTGGTTCAGGAATTGTTCTCATCTTCTAGTAGTGTCTAGCAATATAGATACTGTAGCTATGACCTGCCATGATTTGAAATACCTGTTTCTTAGATTTTGACCCCATCCTAAAAGAAGTGGAACTGACTGGAATCAAGTATGACACCACTAAGAAACCACTTAAAGTAAAAAAGGAGACCACTTCAAAATGTATACCCATATTTAATGTTCTAACAACAGAAACAACTTTCACTGATGGTAAGCATCTTTGAAGGTTAGTTTGGATCCCCAGGAGTGTGGATGCCATATGATTTTCCATGTTTAAAGTAATCATGTTATAGACTTTATTGACACCAGGTTAAGTCAGTCAGAATGCAACACAGTCTGCACTGAACACCTGCTCTGTCTGCTGCTGTCACTCACTACAAACTATGAAGCTTTAAGAAGGCTCACAGCTAAGGAGTTTCAAAGAATCTGTTGTTTTGACCTCAGCCCCAGCTACCCCAAACTGTTATTTTCACCTTCTTTGGGATGGCCAAAGTCCCTAAACCCCCCTGTAATTCACACCTTTGTTTTACCACCAGACCCCAGCATGACCTTTTTGATAACAGGCTGTGCTGTCAGATGTGAATGTCCTCCTTGATTTTCTTCTGGTTGTGCGCTGACTTATGCTTGATGACCACTGACCTCTCTTTGCATGTGTTCTGATGTTGTCAGTTTCTGCTGTGTAGATCCCTTGCCCTAAAATACAGCACAGGCAGTCACAATTCCCACACAATAAATCAACCTCTCCTATAGCACCTTTATCAGGGCAAAATCTCACTTTGTCCATTAGTCTGGTTTATGACCTGCAACACTAATGACTGTGCTTTATTTAAATGTTATATGTCATCTACATTGTACTTTTGTCATTTCTAAGTGACTATTTAACATGGAAACAGTATGTTGCCTTTACTCAAGAGTGAAAGAACTGCTCTTGCAGAAAAGTAATGATCACATATAATTGCACACAACAGCAGCTACAGAATTTAAAAGGAACAAATCTGCCACAGAAGTCATATCTGACTGTTTCCCAGTGATTATGTTTATAATGACCTCAGTTACTATCACCTCTAAAGGACTAGAAACAAGCAGAAAGGACTTCACTGATTCACAACTTTGGAAAAACAGAATGCTGTTAGCAGACAAATATCAAATATCCTGGTGCATTCTCAAAGGACTTTCGGGACTCAGAGTGGTGTCTTGACTCTTTCTTCTGCCACTTCACCTTCCTTCAGCTGATCTACAGTGGTAGGTTGAGGACACTGTGTTGATTTCAGCTATTAATCCATGCTGACAAAGCCTGCGGGCATGACTCCTAAGCACATAGTCATACAAATAAGAGAAAGAGCAGCCCAACCGATACACTCACATATCCTCCCACAAAATGAGAAGTACCTGCCCACTGCTCCTGTTGTCTGTGAACTGTGTTTGCTCTGGACTGGTTGAGGTGAACTGCATTGTTCAGCTAGAGATGAAGCACTGGGGAAAGAGAGGGTGAGACAGGAACTGAGTTAAAGCCATTATTCCATCACTGACTGGATTTCATGAGCTTGTAAATCTGTACAGCCAATGAAATCCAATGAATAAAAAATTGCTTTATCATAATACTAAGAAACATGTTTTAAATGTTTGAGCTCTTGTTTAAGGTAGTGTGTATGACTGTGGACGGCGAGGACTTCTAATCCTTTTAGCCTGAATTAAAATCATCATTCTAAGCAACAGCTTCTTCTGTATTTAATGTCAAAAATTATTCATACAGTGGCAAATGTTTTCTCCTGTTAGGCTCTAGTCATTTATGGATTTTGATTGTGTTACTGTAGAATTTAAATTTAGATTAGGAAAGTTTTATGGGCAGCTTTATTTCTTTAATATGCTATTTCTTATTATGCCATTTTCCAGCTGAATGATTTGAAGGGTAATTCCAGTTTTTTATACCTTGGGTCTTATTTTTATGGCAACTGAGCACAATCAGCACACTGCAACCTGAAAAACACAGGAGCAACTGAAGAAAGCACCTTCACCTACTCTGACAGCATGTACACAGTATGAAGACACATGTTGCAAATCAGTGGTGTCAGCTAGTAGGGACAAGCTGCAGTGAAAAGATTGACACTGTTCATCTTTGGCAGGTATTGGTGTGTGTGCGTGGTCTTGCTATTCTGTACTTGTGGGGTTCAAAAACCAGGTGCACACTATCTTCATGGGGACCAGCCTCAATAAACAATCACATTTTACAAAAACAAAGAGGTGTAAGGTTAGAGCAACATTCAGCTTTGATTTAAGGTTAGGGTTAGGCAAGTAATGATTATATCCCAAAAATAAATGTGAGTAACAAAAGTAAGAATGTATGTGGTTATGGTGCATGGTGCTGTGGAAATGTAAATCTTTACACACTCACATTGTGGCGACTCAATGTCCTTATGGAGACAAAAAGCAAGTCCAGTTACATTTTAGAGATGACTTGGGTTAGGCAAGTAGTTGTTATAATTAAGGTTAATGGTCATTTACAGCAACCTTATATTTTTGTTCATCTGAAACACACAATATTAAATATAAATATTTCATCAACAATGCATACATGTATCCCAATTCTGTGTAGGATAGCTTTTGAGTATATGTATAGCCTTGTAGTTATTCATTTGCTGTTTTGGTTTGTTTTGCATTAAGCACTGTGGCTGGTGCATTAGAATTATTTTTATTCTTGCTCCACTCCATCAGTGTTTACACCATGTGGGCCACTAACAGCTCTCTCTACTGTGGCCGCCCAAGCTCTACTGGACATGCGGGAGTAACAAGACAAAGACAGACATATGGGGAAAATCTACATAGGTGATAAATGCAAGGGAAATCTTGAATTGACCACATACAAGTGTAGCGCCCCTTACCCTCTTTATCATTTGGAATGTAAGGGACTGTACCAGGTTCAACAAAAGTGCCTATGAGCTTGTGTAATAAGGCCCCTCTGGTGTCACTGACCCAACGGTTTATATACTCCTTACTGTACTGCGGAGTAACAGGTGTGATGTTTCCCTAGTCTCCACTCGTTAACTATGCTAGAGTAAACTCAGACACTAGGTATAACCTGCCAACATGAAACATTTAATTTAAAAGATTAAAGAAAAAATAAAAGAAAGGAAATGCAGGATATATAGAAGTTTGACTATATCCCCAATCACAGTGGTTACCCTCTACTGTCTGTATCAAAACCCATGAAATATACAAATCCACACTTCACCTCAATTGAGTACATATAACCAACACCTTCTTCACATAACATACAATGAACAGATTAGGAACACAACTCTCTGTACTAAAAGTTACTTCACATAAATATACAGATGAACAGATTAGGAATACAACTCTCTGTACTAGAAGTTACCGTGGGCCCACACATACCATAACTCAAAGTTCACACTCCCACCTCATAGCAGGCCTGTAAGTGCGCTAGTCCTGGAACACCGACCCCACAGTCTTCTTCACTGTCTTGAAATCCGAAAAACAATATCCACAGTACCTTGGATCCGTGGTAATGCACTTTAGGAAACACTCCACCTTGTGCGTCCCAATCCTCGAACGACGTGGCCTTCCTGTCCCCAGCCTCAGGCGCCGCTGTATCTCACGGCTGAAATATCTCCTCTCCAAACCGCAGAACAGATGTCTTCTCTTACACTTAGTTCGAGTTACTGAATTAATAACTCCAACCTTCACTGTTACTCCCGTGTTCGTTTAATCCACCCGCTGTGGTCTCTCCGGTTCGTCAGTCTCTCTTTTCCTCCAGCCCGCTCTCTCCTTACCCATCATCCCCCTTGCTTAATTTTCCTAAGCTACAAGCACCCCGTTTTGGTGACGACTACACGAGCTGGATTCCATTTATATTCTGATTTAAAGCCTAAACCAGACGAACTGTAAAATAAAACCACCCACCTACGCTACCTTACATCCCCGTGGGTTACACAAGGTTTGCCGATACACACACTGCAGTACTATTACCATTACTGCCCCTCTTGTACAAGTTGGGAACCACATTAGTGCTCGTGGCATGCTATTAGGACTCATTACAGTGGTCAGACATCTCTGGGAGGTTACATATTGCAGCAGGTTTAGTGGCTTGTAAAGAAACACATATCTCTGTTATTACATGCATCCCTCATGAGCCCACAGAGAGCAGTGGGAAGAAATGAAGGAAGAAAATGATCATGGTACTACTGCAGCTGATGAGCCACTGCTGTAGGGATGCTTTCATGCATATCTCAAGCACCTTTGGGATATTTCAATATTTCAAGCATCTGCAAAACAGATGACAGGACAAGGTGGAGATAAAAAAAAAATTTAAATCAAAGACTGTAGCAAACTAGGGGAGAATCATCTCTGACATCACTCATTATATTTCAGAACATTTTAATAACTTGTATTTTGGTTCACTGCCCATTCCATCTCAGCCGCTTCCTGCTAAATTATCCCAATTTTAGGTAGAGTATTTAGAGTGTGTGGAACTTAAGACCTACAGTTGCTATCACCATCTGTGCCTCACATTATGACTCCATGCCATTTTTGTGTACTAATACAAGTGGGCTTATGGTGTTCTGTAATGAAAACCCCAAACACCTTATAGAAAGGCCACAGACACCCTCTACATCAGTATCAGATGCAAAAGGTACTTGACAGAATGTCAGTTTTTGATGCCCTGGGAATTATGACCTAATGGTAATTCTGCGACATAAAATGAGTAAAAACACATTTTGGGTACATCTTATTCTGACAAAAAGCCAAGAACAAGGACAGTTTCACTGCTTGCTTCAGGAATTAAAGCCCTACCATTGCCTGCTTTAAGATATTCACAGGACAATTTGAGTTACTAGTTCAGGGATGAGGCAGAGGAGCGATTTCAGGGAGCCGACTGAACAACGGTGTCTGTGTGTCTGATGCAATTTATGGATGATGACTATAAAATTGTGAATGTACTAATGCTTTAACATATTAATCAATATCTCTAGTAGTAAAGCATGGTGAATAATTGGCAACAGATCACCCAGGAGCACATTTTATGTTGATTTAAAAAAAAAACTAAAAATTTGTGTTTTTAGTCACTAGATTGAATAATTTAATTGGTATATTGTTCCATAGGCCTATGTACAGTGCTTAATTTGTAAATTATGAGGTCCCGGAATATCACTCAGTGATGGACCTGGTATGTCAATGTGGGGAGAGGAGCTCCCAGAATTAAAAAAGTTTCCTCAATGACCTGTGTTGGCGTAGTTTTCACTACACCAGCAGCTTAAAGGCAAAAAAAATATTTGTTGTGTATTTGTAGTGACTAATAAATCACATAATAATACATGCATTTGCAAGTGCTAGTTATAAATGTTGAGTGTGAGTGATGCTAAATACACTAGAACTGTGATGCTATGGCCACTAATCTGCTCAATCAAGCAAGTCTGACATCAAATCTGGGGCCTCATTATTCCACTACACATTAACATTATATTCAGAGTTTTACAGCAACAAATTTAAAGCACACTAGAAACTATAAAATGCAGTAACATTAAATAAACATACTCTTACCTTCATGTTATTCCATGTTTTGCTTCAGTCCATGACCTAAATATGACACTGGCCTGTACTAACCTTTTCATTAGCAGTTGTATGCTTTATAACTGGGCCCAGCTTGGCCTGTTTAGCTTCTGATTTCTGAATGTGCACCTGACCCAGTGTGATCTGCATGGGCTGGTTACATTGTGACTTCCTGTTTTTATTGTATTTAATTATCCTAATTTTAGTCTAATGTGCTGTTGAAAAAGGCTAGTTGTACCAAAAGTATTAGACCTTGGGCTAGTTATATATTATACATGTATTCAGTTTCTTTCATATGTAAATGAGGTTCCGGGTCTGTCAATATAGGGGCTGGTCACAATTTGTGCCAGATCTGGATCTGGCTTTTCCTGGCACAAATGAATCCCTGCCTATGTGCATAGGCAGAAAAACCTTGGTACCTTGCATGGCAATCTGTGCAAACCTAGTTGAACATGCTTCTGTTGCCTGCAAAAAATTGGACAATCAGCCTTGGTGTGAAAAGTATTAATAGTTTTGTCACACAGCACAATTTGTTGTTGATGTGAAAGCATTTATTCAAAAAACATAATTCACATGTGAAAAACATGAAAAATTCACCTCCACTGTGAAAAGACCTTAAGGCTATGGTATGTTTCAAGTGAACTAGATTATACTGTATGCTGTGTAGTTAGAACTTGTCTAAAGGCAAAGTTGTTTACAGCTATAGTGAATGCAATACTCGAAAAACCTCCCATCATAGCCTTCTCTTAACTGTGTACTAATTCCTGTCAGAACTCACTCCAAGCATCTCTGTAGCCTTGAGGGAATACAAATGAGAAAAATGGCACACACTTTCAGATTTCAGTCTCCTCAAAGGTGTTGCACTCACATGAAAAGTGACAGAAGTGTGAAGAATGAAATAAGAGAGTGTGAGAGATGAGCGCCTGCTTTTTCCAACATGTTGGGGATGGTGTGGGGGGGAGGAGGTTTTTGATGCTGTTAAGGTACAGTAACATTACACTTCTCTCTTTCACTTCAGTGAAGCCCTTCTGTTTCGATCTCCAGTTGGGTCCAGCAGACGCTTATTTCAGAATTCATCTTGCCTTGATTAAGTGGATGTTCACCCAGAAGATGCACTGATAGGTGGAAGTGTGTTTCATCAATATGTTTAGTACAACATTGCAATACAGCATTGTTGTCACAGACTGTTTACAGGGGGGGGTTAAATTATTCAAAGGACATTCTAATTTATATTTCTAACATATTTGTATAATGTCAACTAACTAGCTTTCTCAGCTAACGTAGCTTAGCTAACTCAGTAGGTGTTAGATACAGTACATTAGCAATTTCTTTACCTGTAAAATACAGTAAGCTATATTCTGCTATCTCTTTAGTTACCATTCAAAAGAATTACTCCCCAACATAGTTGGAGGCTATGTCATGTATTCTTTGTGGAGGCTAACCTTATCAGTGGCTCTAAGTACCACCCTGAGTTGATGGTAAAGAGAAATATCCAGTCATGGTCAAAGTGTTTATTTGTCATATGCACAGTTAGGAATCGTGTTTCCCTGTACAATGAAATTCTTACTTTGCCATCCACACGAATGCCACAAAATACAAATGAAATATAAAGTAGATAAATAAGTAACACAAATCTAAGGCACTTTCAGCAGCAAATGCAGCAATATAATAAAAATATATAACAATATAATAAGAGAATGTATGCTGCATGGGAGCAGCATGTGCAGCAGTCAACAGTCAATGTGCAATTATGCATGTGCAAATTGAGAATGTAAACAGTACAGGTCGACAGTACATGACATATTTCCTGGTAATAGACTCCTCAGCTGTTTAGGAGTCTGATGGCAGAGGGAAAGAAAGAGTTTTTCAGTCTAGTGGTCCTGCATTTCACACTTCTGAACCTCCAGCCAGAGGGTAGGGAGGTGAACAGTTCGTGCTGGGGGTGGGCAGCTTTCCTACACACCCTGCAGTGGTAAATGCTCTGCAGAGAGAGCAGTGGAGTCCTGGTGATCTTCTCCAGAGTTGAACGCACAAACACGTCCGCCTTGGTGGGCATCAGTCAGCTGTTTCATTAGCTTGGCAATGCTGTCATGCACCAATCACACGAACGTTTGCCCAAACATTGATTGTTGATTGACTGATCATTCCTTTCCATTTTTTCTCAGCACATATAACTTGCATTGTTTTTACATTTATTCTGATATGTTGGCTTTTTACATTCATTTCACTTAGGCAAAACTCCACAGAAACAGTTAG